TATATATATATATATGATTTAGGCTGACTTCCTACTTTGCCAGAACAAGGGGCTTGCTGCAGAGCATCTTTCGAGGTTCTCTTTCTGCAGGACCTCTGCCAGAAGGTGGCAGTGCATTCCCAGAGCCCATTTGCAATTGCTCCTAGTCTTTGGAGACACTGACAACACTGCAGTTGTAGAGCCCATTAACCCTCAGCCAGGCTGGCAGGAAATGAATTTGCTTCTGTATCTTCACTCAAGGACAATGCCATTAAAGTCTGCAAAACTGCAATGTCCCAGACTAAAGATTTTTAAATTGTATTACTGGCGTCCCAAATAGAGTGCTTTTATTTCAATTTAGACTGGGGATTTGAAAGTCAAGTAATAGAAATACAGTAGTTAGAATTATGATTACTAAAGAAATCAGTGTATTCTAAAGGCAACTTATATACTAAGTTATATGTAGAATATTTAATTTGGTACGCACTATATATTGACTATCAATTGAATCAATATAGCTTTAAAATTTTTTTTAAAAAATGGAAATGTTGGCAAAAGATTAGTTTATTTAAGTAATGTTAATATGTTAATTGTTGTTGTTAGGTGCCTTTGAGTCGAGTATGACTCAGAGACCTATGAACAACAGATCTGAACCTTGCCATATCCTGCGGCATCTTCATCATCTCTGATAAGTTCAAGCTTATTGTCATAATATGTTCGTAAGAAGCACTTATCAGGGAGCTCTGGTGGCCTAGTGGCAAGAAGCTACACTGCAATACCAGAGGTACGTGATGTGAATCCACTAGATGCTCTGCTGGAGAAGGAGGGGCAATCTCCTCCTGTAATAGATCCAATTTGACATTACACACACACACACACACACACCAAGCACTTTCACTGACGCTCAACTCAACATGAAAGTCTTCCAAATGGATTAAAGCTAAACACAAAACAAATACTATTATAATGGGAATAATGAACAATATGATGGTCAATGGAAAAAAGATTAGAGCTGTCAAGCTTTTAATTTTGAAAATACCATGACATGAATCAGCATAACTTAGTCATCAACTTTATATCTTTGCTGTTTAACAAATACTATAAAGATGTCTTTTGAAGCAGATTTGCAAAATTTGGTATATCCTTTGAGTTCTTAATTTTGCTTTTAGGTGCCACTGAATACCACTCATTGTAACGCTATGAACAACAGATCTGAATCCTGGCCTATCCTGTGCCATCCTCATCTCTGATACACTTGAGCCTGTGGCTGTAGTCTCTGTGTCAATGCACCTTGTTGGGGCAGGGGGTGGTATCTTCCTCTCTTTGCTGACCCTTCACCTTTCCAAGCATGATATCCCATTCCAAGTAATAACCTCCCTTAGCAACATATCCAAAGTGTGAGACATGAAGCGTCACCATCTTTGCTTCTGAGGAGCACATCAGTTACACTTTTTCTAAGACATATCTGTTTCTGTCTTTCGGCAATCCATGGGATAGTCAGTACTCCAACTCCACGTCTCAAAGGCATTAATTCTTCATCTGCCATCCTTATTCATTCTCAAGCTCTCAAAAGCATGGCAAGTAATTGAAAAGACCTGAAATCAGGGGCATGTTAGTCTTCAAACTGACATAATTATTCTTCAGTATTGGATCTGACTGGCACAGGAGAATATGGCCCCTCCTTCTCCAGTGGAGCATCTGGTGGATTCAAACTGTGCGCCTTCAGGATTGCAGTGCAGCTTCCTGCCACTAGGTGACCAGAGCTCCAGAGGATGGTGTAGGATGGGACAAGGGTTAGATTTGTTGTTCATAGAATAGCTGTGAGTCATAGAGAGAGCTCTGTTGGCTTAGTGGATAGAAATCAGTGCTACCAAACCAAAGGTGGGTGATTTTAGTCTGTGGTCTTCAGGCCTGGTTTTAATTATTTTTGGTCAAATAATCTTCTAAGTGGTATAGCGCTGGTCTGTCCATTTTCTGTACAGAGGTAACTGGTGGTTGTTGTGATGCTAAATACTGTGACACTGATGTGTCAAGTGCGATATTGGTTACCCATGGTGGACAGTGTTTGGTGGAGCTCCGTGATTAAAACAAGCTTGGAAGCAGGAGTGGCACCCATTTCCAAAATAGCTTGCTTCCAGAAATTCTATGAGCTTAGAGAAATGATGAAAGTTATATGAGTGTTCAGGTCTTTCGTTCATAAGGTCGCTATGAGTCATCTATGACTCTGCAGCATTTAATGACAAGCAACATTTGGAGAGAAGTTGACTGTGAAAACCAAACATGTCTCTTGACCTCCTGACTGTTGGACAATCCTTTCTTCATTTATCAGGGTGTTGTTTTTTTAGTCCAGTGGTGATGATTTTTGTCCTCTTTATGTTGAGATGCAATTCATATTAAAGTCTGTAGTCTTTGATCCGCTGTAACAAGTATTTGAGGTCCCCTTCACCTTCAGTAAGCAAATTTTTGTCATCTGCATAACACAAAGTGTTGATGAGTCTTCCTCTGATCCTTATGGTCCATTCTTCCCACCCCCCCTTCCCTCTATCTCAGGGTTTATTTGTACAAATAATATAGGAAGACACCAGTCCCATGCAGATGGCAACCCAGGAGGTCATACCAATCCTTCTGTCCTCAGATGGAGAACTGAGTTATTGAGCCTTTGCGGGGGTCCTAGGCACCTTTAGGTGCCTGACTTGGAGTAGGAGCCTGGGTGGAGGCTTTAGATGATTCCTGAGTTGAGGACTTTGCTGAAGAAGCTTCAGCCTTATTTTAAACCTTGGCTTTGGATTTTGGCTTGCACAGCCCGAGTTCCTTGGCAATGCGGGGCTCAAGCACACTTCCCAAGCCTGAGATGAGCAATGCAGGTAAGTCAGCTGAGCTTGTGGGTGACACTCCTTGACATCCTCAGCTTGACCTCTTTGGGCTTGACAAGAGCCCTCACAGCCTTGGCACGTTCATCCATGGCCTGGGCATTGTGGGCCTGCATCTTCTTTAAGCCCTTGCTGTTATGCTTCTTGGCAAAGCACATGTTCCTCAGGAATTTGGGGTCTACCTCCGTAAGAGACTCATCATTATGATTTCCATTATGGATACCATTTCAGTGCCATTTTCAGAACTGCTTGTGTGTGGTGTGGTTCTTGGACATAGCCACTTTGCTAAGCAGCTCTTATTCTGGACCATTTGTTGTTTGACCATTTTTTAAAAAGACATAGATCACCATGCCTTTATTTTTAGTCTGTTTCGGTCTCAAAGTTCTCATAAAGCTTACATATTATGAGTGACCCTGCTGGTATTTAAAATATAAATTGCATTGCTTCCAACCTCATAATAATGTGCAGTACTGTCCGATAGCCCTGGTGTGTCCATTTGCCATACAGAGGTAACTTGTGTTTGCTGTGAAGCTGAACATTGTGACACCGATGTGTCAAATGCGTTACTGGTTACCCATGGGGGACAATGTTTGGTCGAGTTCCTTGGTTAAAACAAGCTTGGAAACAGGAGTGGCATCCACTTTCTTTATAGCCTTCAGAAACCTATGAATCTGGAGTAAGGATGAAAGTCACACAAGTGTAGAGGACTTTCATTCATAGGCTGACTATGAGTCGCCTACGACTCGATGACACTTAACAATAACAACTGTATGCACAGTGCAACAAACTGACGGATGAGTGGTATTTATGTTATTAGTAGTCTCACTTTAGAGGTAAAGAAACTAGGTTAAAGTAACTTTTCTTGGATCACAGAGTAATACAGTGTTGAAGTCACTTGGATTATTGTAAACACATACCTATCTGTCATTTATCTTAGAAATAAAGCCTATTTATTATAGTTGAAGCCTACTTGTATGTTTGGATCATATGATTGTTGTTTTTGTAAGTAAAAATGGTCTAATATTGAAGATATAAATTGGTCCATACAATTAATATTTCCAATTGTGTCCCCTTCATTTGTTGGTAATTTGAATTTAGTCTTTATCATTCCCATACATTTCTTTGTATTTTTACTGTAAATCTATGTCTTCTTGATAATACTTAGAACTGATTTCTATTCTTTAAAATTTCATATTATGATCACATACATAGTTTTAAAATTTACTTTTCCAATTTTACCCTCAAGATACATTCATGAAATCCATTTATACTGACATATATGAAAAATGTATTATAGTGTACTCATACTCTGACATACTGGACTGTATTTAAAAATACATAAAGTAGGCTAATGATAAATTTTTCTTATTATCCTATGGTGCTTTTCCTATAGCAGAAATATAGGCTTACTTCTGTGTTTTTAACTAATTACTTAGGAACTATTCATTATTTATGTTAAAATTTATATCAACAATGACAATTTATAAACTTTAATATTGGCAAGTATAATTTTTACACTAATTATCTTGTTTTGCTTCTAGAACATATTTGGTTGGGTTTTATTTAGTCCTTCCTAAAAATATTTCAGTGGTTCTGACTGATTCTCACGTTCAATTTCTCCTTTCACATTTTGTCTCTTTTTACATAAAAACATAGTTTCCCTTAAGAGCAATCATAAGTTTGCATAGATAGACAAAGCAGATAATATAATTGAGTTGAAAAAGATTTACTCCATTTGACAGAGTGGCCAATAAAATAAACAAAAGAAAAAGTACCAGAAATATGGACTGAGAGGAAGTTTTAAAAATAATAATATATTATAGTCAAATAAAACTTTGGTGAGGAACCTGCTTCCTCTAGTGAGAAGTTTATTTGGAAAGTTCTGTGATCTGTATATGCAAATAAGGGAAGAATGTGTGCATCTGGATTGTTGGTATGTATATTTATTGTTTTAAACTGGTCGTATCTTCATGCTTCTTTTGCTACTACATCTCCTTGAAACATAACATGTCTTAGTCCACATTTGGATTGTGAATAACCTTTCTGGTCATCCTCCCTGGTTTAGACTCTTGGGAGAAATAGCTATGTCTCATGTCAAACCTGAATAACTGAAGGGAAGTCTGATAGTCAATAATGAACACAGGACATAAAGTATTAAAGTGAAAACAATCCACTATCAGTAAGTTTTCTGTCAGGTTATAGTCTTCTATGCAGATTTGTGACACAAATTTGTAGACAGAGCATTGCAACAGATGCTGAAATGTCTCTGGAAAATAAACAGTATCATTTATCGCTGTTTTGGAATTGAAGGTTTTCTTACTCCATTCTTAGGGAGCTCTCTGGTGGCCTAGTGGTGAGAAACTGCACTGCAATCCTAAAGGCTTATGGTTCAAGGCCGCCAGCTGCTTCATGGGAGAAGGAAGGACCATCTCCTCCTGAGAGATGTACTACCTCTGAAAATCCACTGGAGGTTCAGCTGTGGGTCGGCTCCAACTCCACCGTACACAACAAGTCCATTGTTGGCAATACTCCTCTACCCTGTATGTAGATTCCAAGTTAATGCCACCTTGAAAAATTGGTTTCTGCTGGCCTTTAGATTCTCTCTCATTGATAGTGTGCTGCCTACTAATTTACATATATTCCAATACTTCCAGCTCCAATCTTAGTAAGTTAGATGAGGCCTGCCCCAAGTACGGTAGTTTACTACCATCTTCCATACGTCTTCTTTCAGTGGATTGCTTCAGTGGATCTATTGTGTGCTGTCTAATATTATTTGTTAATTATCAAATATTTGTTGATTATTAAAGGTATAAACAGCATTACTTGTAATAGAACATTAATTCTGAGAACATGGAACATGTTAATGGCATGGCTGACTTTTATGTCATAGATTCTAGTTTGTCATAGATTCAACTATTATTATTTTTTTTTTACTGCATTATAACAGAATGACTTCCCCCCAGGAATCGATTGGGTATAGAGGCTTCATTGGCACTAGTTATTATATGGTTCTAAGATAGCAGCTTGATAATAGGTTAATGGGTAGACCAAAAAAATCCCCAAAAAACAACAAAAACACAACAACACCAAAACCAAAACAATCAAAACCCTAACCACAAAAAACCCCAAAACTTAAATGAGCCTAAGTTTAGAGTTCACTGTGAATTAAAAAAAAATGCATAAGTGATAGAAGACCAGAAAATGTGTAACTTGGAAGAAAGTCAGACTGAAAGTTAAAAAATGGAGATTTAACTAAGGTGATAGTTGATGGCTACGTTGTCAGGAGGCTTTGGAGGAAGACCACAGAGGACACATCAAATCAACAGATTATGTGGCAACAAGGAAAATGCTTATGATTTGAGGTTAAGGAAGGGAGAATTGTCCTAAAAAGGAAGACTTTTTTTTTCATAGACTTTCATCATGATGCTGACCTATAGGAAATATTATGAGACAGGGAGAAAAGATTGAAATTGTCAATTATTTGATTTTAATCTGATCCACACTCAATACTCATGGAAGCAGAGTCAAGAAATCAAAAGACATGGAGCCTTTGGGAAACCCGCTGTCAAAGACCTCTGTAAAGTGCTAAAGGGCAAGGATGCTTGTTTAAAGACTAAGGTGCACAGAACCCAAGTCTTGGATTTCTAATACTTTCTATGCATTTGAGAGGAGTTGTTATGTTGTTATGTGCTGTTGAATTGCTTGCGACTCATAGCGACCCTATGTACAACAGCCCTAAACCCTGCTCTATCCTGTGCCAATCGCACTGCGTCTGACACACCCATCCCAATTACCCCAGGCACTGAATTAGTCCACCTCATAGAGGGTCTTCCCCTCTTACGCCATCCCT